GTGGCGTACCGCTTCGGATCCATCGCCCTTCTTTTTTGGCGAACTGGCTTGGCTTCACTGCTGACGTTCAGTGAATGGAAAATAATGTCCGGGCTGATCCTGACCATATCTACATGCGACCAAGCGAACACGTCAATGTTCTCCTTCAAGAAGCTTACCAGCTCGGAAGCGAGCTGAGGGTTGAGACAGCTTCCGATCTTTAGCACTCGGCTCAGCTCTTTTGGATCAACCGAAACTTCGGACAGATCCTCAACTGGGCCGCTCGGGGGGATTTCCTGAATTCGCGGATCTATGCTATCCTCTGCCGAACCAGGCTGTTGCTCGATCCGGCTGATCGCCATAGCCTGGTGAGGCGAACATCGCGAAGTGCCCTTTCCCTTGTCGGCCATTTGGATCGCTTTTACATAGCATTCGCGAGATGCGCTTTGCGATCCGCTCACCTCCCCTATCCCCGTTGGAGTGGGGAACTTCATCTTGAGATGATAAATAGAAGTGACTGCCCTGAAGGTTCTCAGTAGAGGTCACCCCAAGATTCCATTGAAGGCCGATGGGCAGTCCACGACCAAAAATTCGGTAACCCTAGTCACCTCATTGTGGTCGCCGAGCGTGACTGGCAGCTGGATTGTTCCGTTGGGGATCAGGTGATCCCCTGTAAAACCGTATAGAGGCATCGAGGCTGACTTCAGGTCGGCCTCGACTAGGTTCATTCTATCGAAAGTGGACTTGAACAGGATGTTCACAGCGCTTCCGTTGTCTACAAGCATTCTGCAGACATTATGACACCCTATCAGGGGCGTGATCACCAGAGCATCCTCATGAGGATGCTCTGGTGCAAGCGAGCTGCCTCTTTCTCGCAGAAGGTGATCGGTTCCTCCTTTCTGGCTTTTTGAGGTCGCTGCGAAGTGTTCATTACCCTGATCGGGTCGTGATGCGCTTCGCGAGCATACCTTTCCTGCGCTCCTCGCGTGTTTCCCGCAAGGTGCGGACCTTCGAAAATTATGTTCACACTGCTATACCCGCTGCGATCATGACGCTTTTTCTTTTGCTCCCCTTGGTTTTCTTTTGGGGAGTCATCAATGTACTCCTTGAAGTGCCCCTTCTTGATGAGCTCTTCGATAGCCTGCTTTAAAGCTCGGCATTCATCAATGAGATGCCCATTATCCTGATGGTAACGACAATATTTTTTGTTGTTTCTGGCCGTAGCAGGGGTTTTCATGGGTTCGGGCTCACCAAGCAGGCTGGCCTCCTCGGATTTGTCGAGGATTACAGATATGGACACGTTTAGCGGAGTGTATTGAGTCCTGTCATGGTTGCGACGAGGAACAGGAGCATAGGACTTTTTCTGCTCGTAGAGGGGTTTCTTCCCTTTTCGCTGATCGTCAATGTCTTCTTTGCGATCAGCTCTCCTATTATCTCCCCGACCAGACATGCTACTGGAAGTGTCGTGATCGCGACAGCGGAGCACTGCCAATGAATTCTTTATTCGGAGATACTTTTCTGCCAGGTTATAGAATCTGGTGAGGGAAACATTGTCCTCAGCCTGCAGTTCTTTCCACAGGTCGGTTTGCGGGCGAACTCCAGCTATTATAAGTGTTCGGATGGACTCTTCTGGAGCGTGGGTCACCTTGTTGAGTTCCCTGTGGAAACAGTCAATGTAAGACTGTAGGGATTCGTCTCTTTCTTGCCTTATGTTGCTGAGGTAGCTCAAAGGCATTGAAAACTTTCGATTGGCTTGAAAATGCCGCAGGAACGTCGTGCTCATCTGAGGCCACGAACTGATCGATCCCGCTGGGAGCGACCTTAACCACCGCTTCGCGTGAGAAGTCAGCGTCGGCCAAACAACGACATTTTGCAAGGTCCGAAACCTGGTGGAGCTCCATCAGGTCATTGAACTCATATAAATGATCCTGCGAATCATAGTTTCCATCAAACGGTTGCATGTCTGGCATCCTGAACCCTGGTAGAAGTGGAGCAGCTAGCACTTCGAGAGAAAAAGGGGATGCAGAGGCGACCTGCGCCTGTTCATTTTGCTGCTCCCTTAACCTGTCCAGAGCTCACTATAGCTCCTCAATTTGTGGTAACGGAGCCAATCGGGGATTGCTTTCACCCGTGCGAGCTCAGCCTTATCGGTTGCGGTTCAGGAAAGTCCGGAGGTCGAATTCCTCCTCGCCTCGGCCGGCATTTCCGGTCGCACTTGACACACGCTGACTAGAGGCGTGTGAAGGCGATGGATTGTGCGGGGTATTTTCACCACCCTCGCGGTGGTACGAACCGCCCTGCGAGGTGTGGGGGCCACCGGCATGATAACGATCAGGATCGTTCTACTGGTGGTGATAGGAATCATCGCGCCCAGCATTTTCGCTTGGGTTTGCCTGCGACGTGGCATGGGACAGCTCGAGATTCACTTTTTCACCGAGTCTCAGCTTTGCCGACACCCTGCTCCGGGCGCCTTTTGTATTCGCTGGTCCTTGGGAGCCCGTAGGCTTACTTTTTGCCACTTGCTTACCCTTGCGCCTACGTGCTGTAGTGCTTGCGGCACGGGCTATCACCCTTTGCCGCCCTTTCGGGTGACCTACAGGCGTCTTTGACGGTTGTACCGTCCCGACTGTCGTAGATGACATGCCTTGGTCCAAACGGTCCAGCCTCTAGTTGACCGTCTGGAGAGTATTGTCGAACCTCTCCAAGTAGCTTCTGATAGCAGGGTCGAGTTGCGGAGCTGCCAGGATATCCCCAGCAGCATTTTGCGAAACTGGAGGTATGTTGGAAGGGGTGTCCCTCTAGGCTAAGGGGACTCCTTCAGCACGCTGGTTAGCTTGCTCAGGTTCAGATTGACGGGCCATTTGTAGCTGTAGGACCAATGGGTCGAAGATTCTCCTGATGAAGGGTAGACACTAAATCCGCCCTCCTTCTAGCGCCAAACTGTTGATGCTGGATTTTGGCACCAACTAATTGTCACGTGCGCAGCGTTGATTGGTCAAGAAGCACACGTGAGTATGAATATAGAAAGCGAAATAAATGCAAAGAGAGTTTTTAAAGTGGTTCAGATGCTAAGGTAGCAAGTCCTACGTCCACTGATTTGTATTGATATTGATAGTGTGGGTCAGGTCGCAACAGCGAACTGACTTACAAAAGATTTGGAAAAAGTAAATGTGTTGTTTACAGGAGAGAGAGAGAGAGTTTTTTAGTGCAAGAATGGCTGAATCCCCTTAGTGAAGGGGTCTTCTTCATTTTATATCAAACTGAAGCGTGTAATCATCATTAAATCCATGGGTTGGTGTGATTGTCAGGATATAATCCGGCTTTATGTCCCATTGCACTCTTCCCAAGCTGATTTTGCAGGATTTATTGCAGGGGAAAGGGACACATGTGAGCTCCATATCATTTGGCAGGTCTGACATGTGCTTGTTGCTCTGATGGGAGCAGGTCACTCTTCACGTGACTTTCCCACGTCAGCCCTTACTTTCCCAGGCATAACAAATAACTATGGAAGGGTTTAATGTAATGAATGAAGGAGAGAGAAAAATAAAGCATTATAGCAGTGCTCACCAAATACTACTGGTGGGGGAGGGAGATTTCTCTTTTGCAGCATGCTTGGCCAAAGCTTTTGGCTTTGCTACCAATATGATTGCCACTTCTCTCGACTCCAGAGGTATAAAGAACCGAAGAGCCTGTTAATTTTATATTGCTTATAAATTTTTATGTTGGACTTATTGATTCTAAAACCTTTGTATCGTTTGATCGTGGAAATACTAGAAATGTTAACTCAGAAATACTCGTGTGCAAACTCAAACTTGATAGGGCTGGAGAAGCGTGGATGTACAATTGTGCATGGAGTAGATGCCAATACCATGAGCCATTACCCTCTTTTACGTGGCAAATCATTCGATCGAATTGTCTTTAATTTTCCTCATGCAGGTTTCTTTTTCAGGGAACATGACTCTCTACAAATTGGGTAAGTTAGTAATTATCTAAAAACTAGCTTCAACATTTTATTTGGAGGATCGACCAGGTAAATTTATTAAGTCATGGATAATAATGGACATTCCTTTTTTTTTAAGGATGCATCAAACCCTGGTGAGAGGCTTTCTAAGCAGTGCAGGGAACATGCTAAAGGAAAAAGGGGAAGTTCATGTAACCCATAAAATGGCTGATCCATTTGATAGGTGGGAGATAGAGAAATTAGCAGCGAAAGTAGGGCTGTCTTTGGTTGAAAAAACATGGTTTTACAAATCGGATTATCCAGGTTATGAAAATAAGAGAGGCTTTTGGCACAAATTCAATAAGCTTTTTCCTGTTGGTTTATGCATGACTGTTAGTGTTTTGTTAATGCCGGTTGTGCAAAGAAAAGAGAAAAAGGAATGAAAAACTGGACTGAATTTCATTAGACAAAAGTCTGCATATAACATACTTTTGCTTACTGTTTCAACAACTATCAGAGACTTTTACTTAATCTTAGCTAAACCACTCAAGTTTAACAACTTCATTACAAAATAAGCTGAGTCAACAAATTCAAAAATTTACAAAAGACTTAAACTACTGAACTCTAGAACAGCACCATGCACGTCCATCTACAATAGCAAAATAGCTTCAAACTTTCAGCAACCATACTTCCAGCACAGCACCAACCTTTAACACTCCACCTTGGTGCTTTGGTTAGAAACACCAAGTTCTAGCCTTAAGGCTTCAAACTTGGATTTGCACAATGCCTTTGTCATAATGTCAGCGACTTGATCTTCCCCTCTGCAGTGCACTAAATTAACTTCTCCACACTGTTCAGCTTCCCTAACAGCATGATACTTAATCTTAATATGCTTAGTTCTACCGTGGAGTATAAGATTCTTTGCCATTGCAACAGCCGACTAGTTATCACATAAAATCAAAGTAGGACCACCTTGCACTTGATGCAAATCATTTACCATCTTCCTAAGCCACACAGCCTAGTTCACAGCTGCTGCGGCAGAGACGTATTTAGCTTCAGCAGTAGACTGTGCCACAGTTTCCTACTTCCTTGACAGCCAACTGATTGCACCCTTATTCAGATAGAACACATAACCAGAGGTGCTCCTAGCATCATCCAGGGATCCACCCAAACCACTGTTAAAGTACCCAGCAACCTCAAACTTTCATATTTCCTAAACTAGATGCCTAACATGCTGGTTCCTTTCACATACCTCAGCACACGTTTGGCAGCTTTAAGGTGCAATTCACTTGGATTGCTCATAAACCTTGAGAGGTAGCTTGCAGTGAACATTAGATCAGGTCTGGTGGCTATGTAATATAGCAAACTTCCCACTAAGCTTCTGTATTTCCCTTCATCTACCGTCTCTACACCATCTGTTTTGCTTAATTTTAGGTTGGGAACCAGTGGAGTATTCACTGGTTTGCAATTCTCCATTCCAAACCTCAAGAGAATCTCGGTTGCATAACTTTGTTGACATACAAAAATCTCACCAACTGCCTAATTTATCTCCATGCCAAGGAAGTACTTCATCAATCCCAAATCTGTCATTTCAAATTCAGCTTGCATATCCAACTTAAACTGGTCCAATTCATTAGGATTACTCCCTATCACCAACAAGTCATCAACATATAGAGAAACCACAGCCACTCCCTTCTCAGTTTTCCTAATGTAAAGAGTGTGTTCATTAGGACTTCTAGTGTATCTAAGGCTACATAAATGGTCATTTATTCAGCTGTACCAGGTTTTAGGGGCCTGCTTCAAGCCATACAAGGCCTTCCTTAGTAGGTACACATAGTCCTCCTTTCCTTCAACCTTTTAGCCTTCGGGTTACTCTACATACAGCTCCTCTAAAATCCATCCATTTAGGAATGTTGACTTGACATCCAACTGGAAAATTTTCCAGTTGAACTGAGCTGCAAGTGCCAATAGCAGCCTGATTGTGTCTTGCCTAGCAACCGGGGCAAAAGTTTCTGAAAAATCAATGCCTGGTTGCTGTGCAAAACCCTTCACCACCAGCCTTGCTTTGTGCTTGTAGATTGAGCCATCAAGGTTGATTTTCAGTTTGAAAATCCATTTCACCTAAATAAATTTCCTTTTTTCAGGTCTTGGTACTAATTTCCAGGTTTGATTTTTGTCAATCATGCTCAGTTCTTCCTGCATTGCAGCCCTCCATAATTCAGATTTTGCAACATCAAAATAGCATCTTTGTTCCACCACTGCCACATTGCACCTTTCATACACATCAGCCAGAGTTCTAATTCCTCTAACAGAATGTTTTTCTTCCTCATCAGAATCTGCCTCTTGAATCAGAACCTCATTTCTCTCTTCTTGACATGATTCAGCTTGCACATCAACCCTTTTTTCTTCCCAGTTCCAGACTCCACATTCATCAACCTTTATGTCCCTTGTGATTACAATCCTCTTGGACTCAGGAACATAAACTCTATAAGCTTTAGAGTTGCTGCTGTAGCCTATAAATATCCCAATTTCTGTCTTGTCATCCAGTTTGGACCTTTTGCTAGCTAGGATCATCACATAGGCTATGCTTCCAAATTCTTTCAGGTTCCCTACTGTTGGCTTGACTCCACTCCATGCCTCAATTGGTGTTTGATGTTTGACTACCCTGGTGGGCAGCCTATTCAGTAGGAAAACTGCTATATTAACAACTTCTGCCCAGAACACTTTAGGGAGGTTCTTTCCAACCATCATACACCTGGCCATTTCCATAATGGTTCGGTTTCTTCTTTCACAAACACCATTCTGTTGAGGGGTGTATGCTACTGTGAACTGCTGTTGAATTCCAGCTAGGCTGCAGATTGTCTTGAACTCATTTGAAGTGTACTCCGTTCCATTGTCACTCCTTACTGTTTTGATCAAGGTTCCAGCTTCATTCTCCACCAGCAACTTAAATTGTTTGAACATAGCAGCCACTTCATTTTTCTGCTTCAAGAAATAAACCCAAGCCACCCTTGAGAAGTCATCTATGAAGAGTACAAAGTACCTGCTGCCTTTTAAAGATTCAGTCTTCATTGGACCACACACATCCGAGTAGATCAATTGCAGCTTGTGACTTGCTCTCCAGGCTTGATCTAAAGGGAATAATGGCCTGCTGAGTTTGCCAAGCTGGCAAGCTGTGCACAAAGTCCTCTTCTCTCCTATCTCGAGTAGGTCTAATACCATGTCCCTTGACTTGAGCTCTTTAATCCCAGGCCTGAACCAGCACTTGCTGTCTGGATGTCCTTTCTTTTTGCAGTGGGAACATGATGGATAATTTCTTCCTCCACTCTGCCTTCCCCACTAACCACTAGCCTTCTCTTTTCCTCTCTTATCTCCAGCATATTTTCTATTACATCCCTGCATGTTTACTCCCTTTTGAGCAGCCAACATAGCACCTTCATTTGAGTCCTCCTGCCTCATCAACTTTCTTTGTTCTTGGGCCTGCAGGGCATGAACCAATTCAATGAGACTAATTTGGGAGAGATCTTTTGAATCCTCTAAGGAGGATATCTTGGACTCAAATCTTTCTGGTAGGCTGACCAACACTTTCTCAACTATCATCTTGTCACTCATCTCAACTCCCAACAACCTGATTTTGTTCACCACACTCATGAGTCTATCTACATACTCTTTAACTTTCTCTACCTCTTGCATTCTCAGCATTTCAAACTCTCTGTGCAGGTTCATGACTTGCATGTTTCGGGTTGTATCACTTCCCATGAACTCTTCTCTCAATCTATCCCAAACTTCCTTTGCAGCTTCACATGCCATTATCCTTGTAAAAACAAGGTCTGTTACTGGAGAATGTATGTGAGAAAGGGCTCTTGGAGCTTTTGACATTTCCTCATACATCCTCATTTGATTCAAGGTTGGGTTTGGACCAAGCTATGGTGGTTGTTTCTCCTCTTCCACATATAGCCACAGCCCTTGCCCTCTTAGGTAGGCTCTCATTCTAACAGCCCAGATGTGATACTGGTCTCCATTGAACACTGGAGGTGAGAGGGAAGCCGATTGAGTAGCCATGTAAAAACTGGTTGCAGTTTTTGGAAGTTTTGTTCTTGCGGAAGATTGGTGATTTGGGATGAGTTTTTGAGTGAATTTTTAGATGATAGTTGGTTAATGCAGCTCTGATACCATGTTAGTGTTTTGTTAATGCCAGTTGTGCAAAGAAAAGAGAAAAAGGAATGAAAAACTGGATTGAATTTTCATTAGACAAAAGTCTGCATATAACATACTTTTGCTCACTGTTTCAACAACTATCAGAGACTTTTTCTTAATCTTAGCTAAACCACTCAAGTTTAACAACTTCATTACAAAATAAGCTGAGTCAACAAATTCAAAAATTAACATTAAAATTTACAAAGGACTTAAACTATTGAACTCTAGAACAACACCATGCACGTCCATTTGCAACAGCAAAACAGCTTCAAACTTTCAGCAACCATACTTCCAGCACAGCACCAACCTTCAACAGTGACATTCAAATTTGCTAAGGCATCAGAAAATGAATAATAATAAAAGTTGAAGCTCTGCTGACCAAGGCCAGCTCCCAAGTTCAGATTGTCTTTTACTTGAGCTACAAGTTCTGTATATAAATAATTAATAAGTTTCCAAGTAGTATCCTGACTGTTAATGATTATGTTCTGCAGTATTTCTGTTCAAATTTTAATATTAGTTTATGATCTTATTATTTAATCATTTGTTTCATTATTTCAGATTATTTATTCAAGGAATGATAAAATATTAAAAATCTCCTATCCTATGTAATCAATTTATAGAAAAAAAAATAAAGAGATATATACTACGAATCCTCTGTTGGCATCATACCTTTTGATTTGAACAACTTTAACAAGCTTTTGATGGTGGGAATCAGATTGGCTGTGGTGGATACAGAACTTTCTAATGTTTCTACAAATCGCAATAAATGTTGCATTTCTTTCTCTCTGTTACTTCAAAATGCACAGTTGTGCTGCAGGGAAATTCATTTGAATGTCGAGTTAATAGTTCTTCCACCAAGAATTGATAATTTTGCAATTACGCATTAAGCATTTTAGTTGTTGTTTTTCCGGATACTTCATTGTCAACTCTATTTCCTTCATATGCTAAGTACTTAATTTTGTCAGGTTAACGGACAGTTTGGTGAAAGAAGTGAAGATAATCCTTGACTTATCCACATAGGGATAATGCCACTGTTTTTGAGTGACATTAAATTAGAAAGTGTATTGGAATTTACTATTAATTGATAATCCATGACATATCCTTTCATTTTCCACTGTATATCCTGCGTTTCCCTAGATAAGTGAATTTAAGGAAATGAAGAAAACTAAGAGACATATCTCACAATCACAGATAATGAATCGTGAATCTAACCAAGAGTTTTTGGCTGTATATAAATACCTCTTGACATAATTATATTCTTCAATTAAACTTGGATATAAGTTTATGGCTAAGTAATTTCAGAAAAGGATGCAAACTATGGAAGGGTTTAGTGTAGTAAATGCAGGAGAGAAAAAAATAAAGCATTATAGCAGTGCTCACCAAATACTACTGGCGGGGGAGGGAGATTTCTCCTTTGCAGCATGCTTGGCCTATGCTTTTGGCTCTACTGCCAACATGATTGCCACTTCTCGCGACTCCAGTGTATAAAGAACTAGAGAGCCTGTTAATTTTATTTTTTTTATAAATGTATATGTTCGACGTATTGATTCTAAAACTTTTGTATCTTCTGATCCTGGAAATACTAGAAATGTTAATGCAAAATTATTCCAGAGCAAACTTAAACTTGATAGAGCTGAAGGAGCGTACAAGGAAAACAGCTATCAACAATTCATTCGATCGAATTGTCGTTAATTTTCCTCATGCAGGTTTCATGTACAAGGAAAACAGCTATCAGCAAATTGAGTGAGTTAGCTAAACGTAGTTATCTAAAAACAAGCTTCAAAATTTTATTTTAAGGATCGACAAGGTAAATTTATTTAGTCACGGATAACAATGGACATTTTTATTTTTATTTTTCTAAGGATGCATCAAAATCTGGTGATAGGCTTTCTGAGAAGTGCAAGGAACATGCTGAAGAAGAAAGGGGAAATTCATGTAACCCATAAAACTTCTAATCCATTTGATAGGTGGGAGATAGAGAAATTAGCGGCGGAAGTAGGGCTGTCTTTGGTTGAAAAAATACGGTTTCACACATGGAATTATCCAGGTTATGGAAATAAGAGAGGGTCTGGGTCCAAATGCAATGAGAGCTTTAATGTTGGTTTAAGCATGACATTCAAATTTGCTGAGGCATGAGAAATTTTGTATTAATGCATATCTGCACAGTACTGCCATCGCCCCTTCGAATATTATGGAGTGGTTTGTGAGGAGTACCCAAATAATAACTGTCCAATCCTGTGAAATTTGCTTGTATTATCTAAAAAATCTTCTTGTTTGAA